CATCCCAGAAGAGTCTGGAGTAGTGATTAAGCAAAGGAGGGAGCTGAACCCGAGTTTTGTACATGTAAGGTAAGTAGTGTAATTGTAGCCATTAGATTAAAAAAGGGGCATCTAAACTTTCACTGCTTCTGGTCCTGTTATAAAATAAGAGGAACCCTGGCTTGGTTTCTGGAAGAAATAGTATAGCCTCCTTTTTTGGTCCAGAGCTTTCTCCTGTGAGGTTGAAGTAGATGGAGGTGCCTCCCTGCATTCAATTCAATTTTCAATTTCAATTTATTAAGGATTTTGGCTAAATGCCATGCTCCCGAAAACAACATAACACACATACGCCCATAATATAAATAAGTTCGAACAAAGTAACCAAACTACAAATATTATACTAAAAATAGAGCCCACCAACATTAACCTCCCTGCACTGTTGAGTATGGTACCAGAGTCCTGAAAAGGGTGGGTTTTCAGACCTAACCAAGTTTCCATATTGGTTGGCTCCAGGTAGCTTCCTGCACAGTGTGCTGCAGGCCTTTGTTGCTGTTCTCCCTGTATAAGCAGACTGTGCCTCGCATAGCATTTGAGACTCCCCTGCAGGCCAGGTGTGTAAAAGGGAGGCATTGCAATGTTCCATTTAGCACTAGATTTTCTTAAGTACAATTTTCAGTTATAACCTAAGGACTGCAGCCTCTTAAAGTAGCTTAAATACTTTTGAAAAGTTTATCCTAGATCAGCGTTTCTCAACCTGTGGGTCACAACCCAGAAGTGGGTCACAAGAATATATGAAAGGGTTGCAAACAAATTTTTAAAAATGCATTCTCCTTTAAAAGAGAAAAATGTGGGAAACCATGGTTTCCCCCCTTACAGGCTGGCAGAAGTCCAGCTTGCAAGGGACTGCTTGGGGAGGGCATGCCTCACACCCTCCAGCCCACACACCAACCCCCCGCCCCACATACGGGGGCACTGGGGGAAGAGGGTTGGGAGTGAGGGGCACTGGGTCGGGACTGCTCTTGATGTTTACAAATGGGTCCTGGTCAAAAAAGGGTTGAGAACTGCAACCCTAGACTATAAAACTCGCACAGCTGTTGGGGAAGTGTTTTGGGAATTGCTCTAAAACTGATTAGATGGCTGCATTTTTTGGGTGGTGTCTACACAACATCACTACTTCAAGCAGTTACTGAAATGGGAAAACTAGGGTCCTTTTTCCTGCAAATAGGGAACCATAGCTAAAATTAACTCCACGATTTGGTATCCTTCTCTACATGGAAGCCATGAAAAGCAAAAGGTTACCATGCGATGATGAACTGTGTATTTAGCTACAGTTGCATTGCCGACGGGCAGAAGTGAAATGATCTTCAGAGACAATTCCTGTGACATTCATTTGAGAACATCTTAAGGAAATACTGAAATAGTGAGATGGTTAAGGGTTAAAACAATTTGAAAGCTGTTAGATAGAGAAGCTAGACAGTAAATGGCTGAGTGAGATAGTTTTGAGAGCTGGAGCCTAAGCAGGTGAAAGGTCACAACTGGCTTGTGTGGGCTGGAGCACTACATACATATTTGCCAAATTTAAGAGGTATGTGGGAGATAAATGGCAATAACTGACATTGTGTATTATGGATAGTGTTGCTGGAGAACAGCCCAAATCAACTATGCTAGCTGCTCTACTTATTGATAAAGATTATAAAATGCAAACTTGACATTAAATATGTAGAAATAGTAACTTTCTATCAGTTGATCTGTAATGTAATAGCACTGCACTGTTTCTTAAAAAACCCTAACTTTTCAGATTTTTGAAGGATGATTTTGTTTGTGAGCAAGTAATTTAAAACAGTGTTTTTAGTCTCTTTTTTTATAGTGACTTTGAATGCTATTCAGGAACGTATTATGTAGAAGAATTAAAGACTGTGTAGTCATGAGACAGTGCAGATCCCTGCAGTTCAGAAAGGTGGCCTTATGCTGTTGTCTGGTTGCTTTTAGTTATGGTGAGAGCTTCAAAAACAAGCAAATCCTGAAGGCTTCACGAGCTAATTGGGAATGGTGGCTTTTCAGCTTTTGGTTGCAGTCCAGTACTGTAAAGCAAAACATCTTAAAAAAAAATAAATGAGAGAGAGAGAGAGAGAGAGAGAGAGAGAGAGAGTGTGTGTGTGTGTGTGTGTGTACAGCCTCCTCTGACAAAGTTGTAGATGTTTACTTGTATTCTTCTTTGGTGTGATGAAGACATGCCCTTTAAACAGTTAATCTGGAGGACTGTAGAAATAAATAGTAATGCAAAAATCTTGCCTGTTTACATTGGGGGCAACAGCACTTGTAAAAACATGGCTATACAATGGTTACTGATATACTTGGATTTAAGTTCCTGAACTTCTGAGTTGTGCCTGTCATTTCTACCTCCAGTCCTACTGTTTGTTGGAAACTAGAACATCCTTACCCTTGAAGGAAAGCTGCACCTGCCTTGTTCACCTGTAATAGGAAAGAGCATAATCTAAAAGATGAATTGCTTACTTGTGGGTGCTATTGGGCTCAAATACTACAGAGATTAACCTCATGGAAAAAGTTTTGTCTCAAACCAAATTGGAAAGAATCTTGGAAATTCAAATAGCTTTGCAGTTTAACCCATTAGAAAGTGATGAAACATTACATTGAATCCACCCTGCCAGTGCCAGAAAATTGTTTCAAGGTAAGACGGTCATATTTACTAATTGTTCCTGGTGACGTTAACAGATCTAGAGCAGCATTTCTCAACCCAGGTGCCAAGGCACCCTGGGGTGCCACTGGATCTTTTGAAGGGTGCTGTGAGGTGTGAGAAGATAAGTGAGGTGTTAGGAAATCAGCAGCTAAACTAAGCAGATAAGTGCAGGCTCAGGCTTGTCTCTCTGCCTGGACTATCCCCCATTCCCACTGTCGGGCTTCTCTGCAAGGAGTTAAGCACCATAATCTACACATTAGTTTTTGAAATTGGGTGCCACTCAATTCAGAAAAGTAATGGAGGGTTGCCTTATCCAAAAAAGTTGAGAGCCACTGAAATGTGGTTTGCATGGTGAATTCTAGCTACACGATTAAGCCAAATAGCACTAAATTTTCAAGGTTCCTCAACACAGGCATATCAGCTGCTGACAGACATGAAAAAACCCCAAACCAGCACTTTACTGGAAGAGGCAGCGCAGTAGTTTGACCCAGCTCTCCAGTGTCTGTATAGATCGTACGCATCAGCAAGGCTTTTTGGCACTTTTATCTAAAGCTGATTCAGTCAGCTATTGGATAAAGGCACCAAAAAACCCCATTGAAGTGCACGATCTGTACAGACGTTGGGTGAGCCAAGTCAGATGAACATGATGTCTCTTCTGGGCATGGCTGTGATGTGTTTCATGTCTATAAGCAGCCATGAGCTGTATCATAACTTACTTTTTCATTTGACATTTTGTTTCTTGGGCACTGTGTGAGCTCAGTGTCCCTTCTAAAACATTTGGCATGCAAGTGTATATCCGAGTCCTTCTAAGAGCTGGGGTAGCTATGGCTCGTTTCTTTCATCTCTGGTGTCTTAATAATGATAATTGGGTAAGGAATTGCTTGATCATTTGAATTTTTAAATGGCAGCTTGTGGTGCTCCCTTTTTTTTTTGTAGGTCAGTATCATGTTTGAGCAGACTTTTGTAGTAGCTCTTTAAATACAGTGTTTCAGGTCCAAGCCGGTGAAAGGAATAGACCAGCAGGGCTGTGTCATACTGAAGTCATATATGTAATCGGAATAATAAGTAAAAAACTTGACTAAGCTTAAAGGTTAGCATTAGTCTTAAAAAGCACCATGTGACACCCCGGTTTAAAAAACAAGACGCGTTGCAAAGCCAGGGAGGTGCAGTAGCACAGAGCTGAGGGGCTGCTGCCAGTAACTATGTCAGTTGGGGTCCAGGGACCTTGAATTCTGGTTCACTGGACTACTGGCAGGCCAGATCCAGCCCCTGGGCCACGTATGCAACAACTTTATGTTAAACTCTTAAGTTGCATTCATAGTTTCTAGGGTCGGAAGGGACCTTAACAGATCATCTAGTCTGACCCCCTGCCATGGCAGAAAAGAGTACTGGGGTCAAACGACCCCAGCAAGGTGTTCATCTGACCTCCTCTTAAAAACCCCCAGGGTAGGAGCCTGCACCACCTCTCTTGGAAATTGGTTCCAGACCCTAGCCGCCCTGACCATGAAATAGTGCCTTCTGATGTCTAACCTAAACCTACCTGACTAGTTTATAACAGGCCACAAGATCCCCCCTCAGCCTTCTCTTTTGGAGGCTGAACAGGTTCAGGTCCTGTAGCCTCTCCTCATAGGGCCTGCCCTGCTGTCCCCTGATCATGCGGGTGGCCTCCTCTGGACCCTCTTGATGCTGTCCACATCCCTCTTGAAGTGCGGCGCCCAGAACTGGACACAGTACTCCAACTGCGGCCTGACCAGTGCCGCATAGAGGGGGAGGATCACCTCTTTTGACCTGCTTGAAATGCATCTGTGGATGCATGACAAGGTACGGTTGGCCTTCCTGACTGCCTCCCCACACTGCCGACCCATTCCATCGAGGTTTTTCAGTAGTAGCATGTCACTTCAACTAATGCATGTACCAGAAAGGTAGAAGGAGATTCTGATTCCTTTGCACTGTCTGGGATGTTTCTGCTCTACTCGGTGCTACAGTGCCTGAAGTGGGGGGCCTGTGTTATTTTTAAACATAAAATATACCAATAAGCATCTGGTATTTGCTATCTGTAACAGGTTTTTCCTCTAGTATTTAATGTAGCTCCTCACTAGAAATACATATAAGCTACACAGCTGCTACAAGCAAGCTTTTTTTCCTTCATTGCAAGAATGAACGTAGTATGTGTTGGACCCCCTTCTGAATAGTTTTCCTACAGGAATACTGATTTTATGTGGCACAGTAAACATTATGTACTCAAGGTTCGTGTTCCTTTTTATAGTTTACTCTTTGATCACTGACTTTTTCTTTTTCTTTTTTTCCTGAATCATTCTTTTAGGGTTGCAGGGTTTTGGTTGATGCCCGGGACAAACTAGGAATCCCTTGGCAGTACACGGAGAATGAGAAGCATGGAATGTTTTTGATGGCTTTTGAGAACAAAGCTGGAATGCCCGTAGAGCCTGCCATGTTCCAGTTGTATGTACCTGCACTGAGCGCACTGTGGAGGGATTCTGGGATCAAGGAAGCTTTTAGCCGCCGAAGCGAGTATCAGTTGGTGAGTACATGCAACTATCTGGTAAATGGGGAGTTGTAAAAGGTGTTTTTTGTATCTGAATATCTTTTTCAATTGGAAAAGCAGCTTGCCACATGCAGGATTTAATAAAAACACAAGCAAGCTGCAGCACTGCTAGAAATCTGAGCATTATAGCAGCAGGAATGAGCCGTAATTGGAGCCAAACTTGAAAAACTGCATGTCAGAGGGAGTGGAATAAGTGCACGCAACTGGATAAACTAGAGCAACAAGAGAAACCAAAAAAGGCAGGGATTGTCTTGAACTAAAAATTGAGCTGCTCTGTAGATTTCTGCATAGTAGGTCACTGATTAATGCACACTTGCTTGTAACTTTCCAGTTTTGCCAGCTCACACTGTATTGATGCTGGCAGTCTATTCCTGTTTGCAGAGTAAGTCTCTGGAAATGAATGCAGTTTCCTTCCAAGTTGTTTCTTCTTTGACTGTTCCTTTTCATTATTATATCTGAGAGCTACATTTTGGAGTGGCAACTTAAGGATGGCAATCAGCCTAAAAATAAAAACTTAAATGTGTTCCCTCCTCTCCTCCTTGGAACAGAAATGAGTTCAAATTGCAATGCATGATAGACTATACATGCATAATAGAAGAGAACATTTCTGGTGGGGAATGTGACTGTTCTTCAAACATGTGTACACACCCTCACTCTTTGACCTCATAAGCAGCTGATAGTACCTTTATATTTTCCTCTCTCAACACTTCCATGCCACCCCAGACAATGAGGAGATCCTTGAGGGACTCTAATCCTTTTTTTGCTTGGCTGGACATTTTGTTGTTCACTCACTGTGTTTTTAAGACTTGGATATCTATTCAAGTTCAAACACTGGTGTGCTAATTAAAATCTGACCAGTCATTCAGGCACAGAAGCTAAGCAGTTTACATAACTGGTGCTTATGTTTCATGTTACTCACTGTATTACTTCACACGAATATTTATTTTATTAATTGAAAGGAGAGGTTGTGAATCTATAATTGGGCTTAAAAGGCTACTTTAGTGTTTCAAGATAGCAGCAAAGTAAGGAACATACTATAAATAGCATGTTAAGCACTCGAAGAAAAAAAATTCACTTCTCTGCAGTTGAGAAATGATTTTGTGTCCAAGCTCTGCCAAAAGCAAAAGTGAGCCCAGTAAAATGAACTCCAGGTTGGGGTCTCTACAACACCACTGTCAAGACATCACTGTTGCCTCATCTCTGAAAGAATGGGGGGAAAAGGGGACTTCTAGGTATTTTACCCATCAACCTTCAAGCCATAAGTAGTGCTTCATGGGGTGATGTAAAATACAGAGCTTTACACCACGAGAAATGTCACACTCAAATTTTAAGAGAATCCACTTGGTACTGTTGTGATCTGAGATTTAAACGTGAGATTTAAATGACTGTCTCTTCCATCTGGTGAGGATTGTAGTTCTGCAGATTTGAGATTAGTTTGTGTACTTTTAAGGTCTGGAATGGGAGACTGTTACTTTGTGTGGGTGGAAGTCTGCACTATCAGTTCATAGTTACTTAAGCAGGAAATAAGAAGTCCAAATGAATTTTGGTCCTTGTACACAATAGTGCTTAAGATATAGCCACAGCATATACTGTAATACAGTCCTGACAGTGTAACACCATAATCTAGTTTATAATGGATATAATACTAAAGCACGTTGTCCTTTGCAAAATCAGAAATTACTGCTGCTTCCCCTGTACTGTGTTCTCTCATTTAGACAAATGAATGTATGGTTATGTTTGTTAATACATTTGTACAAGGAAGTTAAGTGACCCTATTACTCTGCTCTCTTCCAAAAGAGTGAGGATTTTTTTGTTTAATTCTAAATGACTTTAGAAATACAATACCATTCTTCAACTTGTCTGTCTTGTTTCTGGCAAAGCTTATGAAAACTAATGGGATAAATAAACACTGAAGGTCAAGCGCATTCCATTTCAAGAAGTTTAAGGATGTCTCTCTCACTTTTGGATCCAAAGGAATTATTGGAATTGATGGAATAGCTTTTATCAAGATGAAACAGTGATTTCTGTTTAGCTCTGTGTTCTAGCAGTAAGAATTTGTTTTTTAATTTGGGGCTGTTTGTAGTTTACAGTTAGTGGTTCCATGATGTCGAGTTTCATAACGTGACAGTAAGATTCACAAATTCTCATACCAAGAATGGCTTCTTTAAAATAGGTATAAAATAAATTTGTTTCTTTGCATTCCTGAAAAAATATGCTTTATTTTTCACAATATTTGGTATTGCCTGAGATTTGTACTTAAAAGAATATCGAGTGCTTGTCCAATACACGTACGTTTCCCAGTATTAACAGGGTTAATTTAGTTAGTATAAGCTCTTATTAACTGTTCTAACAACCTTATGTTGCAAGCATAGATTTACTTGCAAATAAATATTGATTAATTTTAGGGTAGAATTTTTTTCATGAAGGTGTCCAATAAACTAAATTACATGCAAACTGTCTTTCTTAAAATACCATCTTGGCCATGACCCTGAAGAATGGGAACTCCTTTAGACTTGAACAGTCTCTGAACCCCTGAGCGACTAGTTCAGTGGCGGTTGGATTGGAAGCTCAGCCCTTTATGTGGTTCAAGATGGCAAAAGGAAAACCTTACAATCTTTACATTATGTGGGACTAAGTATATGAGAAGTAGGCTGAGACAGAGAAGGGTGAAGCCTAGAAAGCTGTTATGCAAGTTAAATTATTTTGTATTATCATAATTCCTGTGAGCCCTAGCCATGGTCCGAGATCACATCGATGTTTGTGTTGTGCCTATCAAACCAAAAAGTGTGCCCAGCCCCAGAAACCTGCAATCTAAATATAATTGTATATGACCAGTAGAGATGAGTGGAAGGTCAGGATGACAGGCTGTGGTGATTACATATCATCAGTGTGGTAATTATTGTGGTGTGTGTAAGCAGCATGGGCAAAGAAGAGGATGGGAACAAAGTAGCTTCCCCCCCTTACCTGCTTTTGCTTTACTGATTGATATGGAAATTGTATCAAATTGGATAAGGACTAAGTCATTAAAATGAGTGTTTTGCAGTGATAAAGGCTATAGCTGTAGTCTCCAACTTCAAGTACAGGATTATACAGGAAATGCCAAAGCAAACAGAAGCCAGAGATGCACGCTAATGACACCGAACTTCAGCCCTCTGTTGAAGAGGGTAGTGTTCTTAAATCATGCTTTCATTTGATGTTTGAAAAATAGGTTATGGATACTAGAGAAAGTTAAACTAAGTTGTAAGCCCACAACTGTTTCTTGTTTAATAGTGCGTGACTATACCCTACAACAAAAAATACTGCTTGTAACTCAGCCTTTTTGTTCACAGTTGTGGTGACACAACTTTGAGTTGGGCCTGATTTTAAATGTGGGGCCTGATATGTCACACAGGTAGAGCAGAAATAAAGCCTTACATGAGATTGTAGCTTATTTCAGTAAGCTGTGAATATTTCAATAAACTGTGAATGAGATTTGTAGCTGATTTCATTAGAATGTTATAAATGTTGGAGATGGAATAAAATGTTCTTAAGACTGCAAGTAACAATTTTCAGATTAAGATGTTACTAAGCAAATTCTTTCAGAACTCCTGCTCCTTGAATGCACTCTCAATTCTTGTGGCCACGAACTGCCTGCAGTGCCTAAACTAATTGGCTTACAATAAAAAGCTGAGTGCAGGGAGAGAGGGAGCAACATATGCCGTCTATTCCCTTTTAAAAAAAACAACTCCTGCCTGTTTGGTTTTTTCAGCAAGCAAATAGTCTAAAGTAGAAACCTGTATCTGATCCCATATTGTAAGTGATGGTCTAGGGCTTGTCCCTATGTATCTGTGTGTTGGTTCAGTTAGAGCATAGATACTTAAATAGGTCCAAATAGTTCAAAGCTAGGTGTTGTTTAGCTAAATTGAGGAGCTAAACCTTTTCAACTAAAGACATCACTAACTGATTTGGCTAAATCCAGTGCAAACCCCAGTGATACTGCTGTTTCACTTAAATCACTAACTGAAATAGGCCTGAAGTAGGTGTTCACAGCCTCTTATATCTGTTTACCATCTGGCATTGTACTGGTACAACTTTGTGTGTAAATGAAGCCTTATGACTGATTTTAGACCATGTTTGGTTTCAAGTGGAGACTTTGCTTAACGCTTGGAATTGTTCTTGAAGTGGCGTTATTAGCTGAACACTGCCTTTCTGGGGGGGGGTTTCTGAAAAAGCTTTTTTGAACTTGTTGCTTTGGTAATAGTTTTTTTTTTTCGAGTTGTTACTCTCCTGTGTTTTCCTCTCTCTCCACCAACCCACGTTGTAGCGCAGTTCTCCTTTGAATTGTGTCTCCTCTATTTTTAAAAAAGCACAACTTCTTCTTGTAAGACGACATGGTGTACTGGCTGAATACCTTTTACCTGAAAATTCTAGTGTACAGACGCTTCCCTTTTGTAATACTGTAATATAATGAAAGATTTTAAGTTTAGCAATGGAAAGTTTGTTGGCAAGAGAATGATTGACCATAAGCTAATACAATTTGAAAGCTTTTTCTGTAGGACTACAGGAGCTGCCTCTAGGCATTTGCCACAACTTTTCTGCTTCATACTCTGTGCATGAAAGTGCTGGCTGTAAATCCCCGTCTGGGTCTTTGAATCTTTCAGAACTGAGTGGGTGGATTTTACAATAGCAGTATTTTCTTTGCTTCTCTGTCTCTCCCCCTAAAGCAGGCTTACCAGCTTCACTCTCTTCTCATCCCCACCCCCAAAGTTCCACTGTTCCTTGTGTGCAAGCAAGTAGTTTTGGGACAAAAGCTTCATTGTCTGTTTGGTTACATTGTCAGGTCTCTGTCCTCATTTTTTAGCTACTAGAATAAGAATTCCTTTGTAATCAGTATATGACTTCCCTCCCCCTCCACACATCTTCTGTCTGTATGTTTGAAAGGAATACATTTCCTGGAGTTATCCTGTAATATTTATTCTCTTGGAGGCCTTCAGTGC